GAAAGATGGAATCCTCTCGATGAAGCTGCAGTCTGTGATGTTAAGCCGCCAGATGGATGGAGCTTTGTAAGAATGCCGCTCGCTGATTGGTGCAAGGATTGACAGCAGAGGTCACGGTGTCAGACATTCACCAAAAATCTCCCCGTCGAACCTTTACGTTTATTAGAAAGAAACTGAACTGCAGTGGACCTGAGGGGTGGGGGTGGGGTGGAGACTGGGGGGTTAACCAGGCGCTGTTATCCATTTTCTGAGTTTATGGCCTCCGCATGGGTGGGGGAACCCTGCCTTGTTATTTACACGAGGAAGGTAATCCCTGGTATTTGTTGAGGTTTGATTGAGGATGAAACCGATCTTGGTCACTGTGCTGTGAGCCTTTTGATTAATGAGTTGGCCTGTACGCTTGGCATCCTTTTTGCATTAACATATCTGGCAATATGTTCCAATAGATAAGCTCATTAAAATTGTTTGCATTGTTTGATAAGGCTAACAATGTAATGCAGAATTCAGTTAGAGTCTTAGTGCAGCCCAAAGCCAGACTTGAAGGGAGACTGACAGCTTCGGTCATGGTCTTATTTCCTCAGAAGTTCTCTTGTACTCGAGCAGTTATTTTTAAACGTTACCTTGATAAAACCACTAACAATGCTTTTGCTTTGAAGCAGCGCACACACACCTCTAAAGAGCATCCTCTGGGCTAGTGATAACAGGAAATAACTCTTTATAAAGCTTTCAGCTACACATACAAGAGAGTATGATGGGAAGCATAAATATGCTGAAATATTGCACATCACAAAATGGGACCACAAGTACCTCACTTCCTTTCTCTTTGGCCAAAGAAATGTACCCTTTGTATACTCAACACACACACACACACACACACACACACACAGAGCTCTAAGCAACCTTTGCCCTGTCGTCTCTGGCAGTTATATAAGTACTTGGAGTTAATTTTGGCTGTGCCCATGAGGTCACCAAAATCTCATACCATATGGTTCCAACTAATGTGTTGACATGGCCTCCTTGCAGATTCCAAGTGCTTGCTGTTCCCTTCCTACAAACTAAAATCGGTTCACAACTTCCAGGACTGGACTTCTGTAGACCATTCTGACAGGATTGCAGTGAGAGTGTGATTGTGTGTGCATGTGCACAGAATTGCGTCCCTTTTGCCCCCTTCCTCTTCCACCTTTTTCCTCTGTGAGCATTTAAAATTTTAAAAAGCAAACCAACAAACATAACATGAGTTGCTTTAAAAACTGTTATTTAAACTGTTTGTAGAGGTAATACATTTGAGCCTCTTATTTTGTAAATGATCTGTTGAGCCCTGTTGGATGTAAATAGCAATTGCTTTCAGGAAAGCATTTGAATTTTACCTTTTGGGCCAGAGGAAGTTGCTTAGTTGCATTTTATTACTTACTATGAACACATTTGAACTGTCAATGGAAAAATCACTTGGCAGAAAGGTAAAATGTAAATGCTACCTTATGGTGATAAATGATTACTTTCAAATGAAATGTTATTTCTCTCTTTAATTCAATCCAAATATTTTCATTTTCTGAATTATTTCTGAATTATTCCTAGTTTTCTTTCTAAGCCCTGGTTGTAGTTGGTATCTGGAATTAGTAAGACAAAGCAGAACAGAACAGAACCTTCATTTTTGATAAAGATCTGTCTGAACACACATTTGGATTACCAAGAGGATCATTGCGTTCATCTTTTATATAATAGGATTCCTGCAGGCTATTGTGATGGCTTTCATAGGTTACCTGAAATCCTAAAATGTCTTTCTTAAAAGGTGCACCTGAAAACAGACCCACCTGGTGTTTCCCCCTGTCTGCATTCCTTTTAAAAAGGATGACCAGTGTGATATAACTACTACTTAATTTTTCGAGGGATGTCAGGGAAAGAAACATGCGACTCATACCTTATATTTTGTATCAATGAAGCATTCCATCATCATTTTTGCTTCCTGATGCCAGAATAATACAGCCACCTAATTGCTGAGAAAACTTGGAAGGTAATTTAAAAGCCAGAGCAAAATTTAACCCAATAAAAGAATTACAGCCAATAACTTTACATTGGCTGTAAAGCCCGTCTAGCCCTCAACAAAGAGGCATGCTGGGAAGGTCTTTGGAGGCCCACCTGGGACTTGGATGAGCCCAGAGCCCTGGGGAGATCCGCCTGAACTCTTTTTTTGTTCCTGCCCTGCCTTTTGAGTCGGTCTTCAAGATCTTTAGCTTGGGGTTTTTTTCCCCTCCTATGTGTGCTAATTACACATAATAATAGCCCCATTCTTATAGAGGTGTTTGTGAGGTTGACTTTAAATATTTAAAGAATTTCTTACAAAGTTAAAAAAAACAGCCTCATTGCCATTGAGTTGGTTACAATGCAGCGTGACCCAGTAAGACAGAGTAGAACCCCTGTGAGTTTCTGAGACTCAGACATCTTCCTGAGAGTAGAAAGCCTCTTCTTTCTCCTGGGGAGCGCCTGGTGGTTTGGAACTGCTGGCCCTGTGGTTAACAGCACAAAGGAAACCAACTGCACCACCAGGATTTCCTATCAATGAAACAACAAAAATCTTCCGTTGCTATTGTGTTGACACCGCCTCATAGTGACCCTCTGTGTGTCAGAGTAGAACTGGCCTCCGTGGAGTTGACAGTGGCTGGTTGGGGGGAAGTAGGTCATCGGTTATAAAGTACCTCAAACCACCAGCCTTCCACTGAGTAGCCAGGACATGGCCGTTTGAGTCTCCCAGCAAGTCCCTTAAAGGAAAAGAGCTGTGCACAATAAAAGAAGACCACTGTTATTACTGGAAAGGGCCACTGAATGGAACTTGGGTGTCCTTATGTAGTTGGAGGCACAAGTCAGAGAAGAAGCCACCGAGAGAGCAAGAAGGAGGGGCTCTCTAGCCCATTCAGGGGCCAAGCAGCCATTCTTCCAAGCAGGAGATGTCATTGTCCTATCATTTGCCCTCAATTCTCTGTCAAACATAGTCAGATATGGTTCATGACCCAGATAGCTTGACCCAGGTGTCTCTAAACAGAGCCAATTTCCACCGCCTGGAGTAGGGTGGGAGGTAAATCATGATTGAAACCAGTGTGCCTGTTGATTTGAAAAGCAGGTTCCCTTTAGGAAAGGGAACCCTGAGATTAGAGGTTTCCGTGCAACAGAGCAGGAGTAGAAATGCTCTGTAGGGCCCTGTGGACAGGGCGAGGCTCCCTCGACCCCACATCCTGGCTGCGTATGTGAGCACTTGAAACCCCTGTATTTTAAGAGGTGCTTACAAGACAAATGTGGTGTGGGCCACCAGAAGTGACACTGTTTAATTCACAGAGCGGATGGGTCCCCAGAGGAGCTACCCACCCCATTGCTCTGTTTCATGCAGATGCCTGTAGGAAATGAGATTTATTAACTGGCCCTCTGCCCACCCCATCTTTGTTTACATACACCAACTTTTAAGAATTAATATATATGTGGAGGGGACCGTTTCCACATGGGTATTTGAACATACAACTACAGTAGCGTATGTTTGTGAGAAAGAAATTACTTGGTCCCAGGAAATGTGTTGGGGGAGTGGGGGCTGGGAGGCAAAACCAAAATTTAAGCCCCAAACCCTGCCAGTTTCCAAAAATATGAACCATTGTTAAGGAAAACCGAAAACCATGCGTGTGTCCAAGAGTGTCTGGGGGGGGGGTAGGTGGGGTGGTAGGTGTGTGTGTGTGTGTGTGTGTGTGTGTGTGTAAGTGTTCTATTCAGTTGAAACATATAGAGACTTGTTTTTATCAGAATGGAGATTTCAACTCCTCCCTAAAACATTAGCTACAGACAGCAGAAGCCTAGCTTCCCTTGCGTGTAATGGCTTTTGTCCTTGACTTTTTTCCTAGTGTTTCTCAAAATCGAGGGATGGCTTGATGCTTTATCAGGTACCCAGTATTTGAACGTCTCTTCTTCATCCTCTGTGGGTGCTTCGGTCAGTGGGATGGTGCTCTTTTAGCCACTGGGCACCTCCCATCTGCTCTGGGCCTTGGTGGGAGAGGCTCCCCTGTTCGCAGCTGGTTGGCAGCAGCAGGATCTGTTTACAGAGCATGGCCTTAGCAGAGCAGTGCTTTGAACTGTCCTGGAATTTTGGTGGTTGATTTCCTTGTGCACTGGGAATTAGCGCTTATAATTAATTGAGGGGGTAAATATTGGGACTAGTCTAAATATATCATTGTGTTTGGAGAATTCAGCGAATATTTGAGTCTTCTGTAGCCATGATCTGTGCTCCATGACCCTCGAAGGACAACCGAGACCACGAAAAGGCAGTCTTGTAAACAGCTCATTTTGGAACCGGTTTCCTTTGCTGCGAATAGTTAGTCTAATCTGATACCAAAAGTGGTTTGTGTTTCCTGATCTCAGAGTGAGTCAAAGTAGAAGATCACCTCCAGGCCAC